TTTCACTTACATTCTGTGTGCCCAGTTTTCTCATCTGTAAATGGTGATGTCACCTATTTATAGGACTGTTAAAATATATGTAAAGCATTTAGAATACTGTTTAGCACATTGTAAGCATTACCTGTAAGTATTAACATTTATCTGTTTCTTAGACTGAATTCATTCTGCCTGTGAAATTTCTGTACCAATAAACAACAGTAATAACAATCATATTTCTTAAACTCATGTGAGATACTAAAAACTAAAAACTATTAGAACAAATGTTCTTTTACATACTAGCAGTTATTAACATTTCATTAAATATGAATACAAGCACTTAAAAGTATGGTGGTGATGAAGAGCAAGTCACAGGTCAGAATGTATACCTTTGTATTTTTTAAAAAATGGTGGGAACCCAAGAATGGTGTAATCCCAGCATTTCACAGGCTGAGGCAGTAGGATGGTCACAAGTTCGAGGCCAGCCTGGACTGCCCAGTGAGTTCAACACCAGCCTTAACTACACAGCACTACCCTGTCTAAAAAAAACAAATACTTTTTTTTTTAAATGATGGGAATCATATGGTGATCTTTATATTTGCAAATATCAAGTTTCACAGTTGTCTAGGAAGAGGGTGAAGTACCTGTCTAGAGAAAGGAGTGTAGAGAAGACTTCTTACTATACAGCTGTCTTCTTATCTCTCAAATCTGAAGCAGCAGACGCATTATCCATGCTAGAATTTAAAACCTGGGTTAGGAGAACAGCTCTAAAAACAAGTGCTCTGGAAGCCAGGCTTCTAATCTCATATCTGTCACTACCTGTGCTACCCAAGGGAAGTTTCAAATCCTGAGTGTCTGCTGGACAAAGCAAGGAGCACTAAAAATTTCAAGAGATTTTTTTCTAATGCTAACAATGTACTATGTCTCAGTAGGGGATGAGTAGTAAAAAGATGTTTTTGAAGATATGGGAACATGCAAGTCTGACACTGTACAACAAGGAAGCTGTGTGGACTTGATTTTCTATTTAGTTTTTTAAAATTGTCAAGCCCATTAACCCTTAAAAATTTGTATTATTTTAGACAGAAACCCTCCTGAGAAGGGGTCTAATAAACTTATAGGAAATACTTATAAAGAATATTTGGCATATTATTTTCTCTTACACTATTTCTGAAATTGTTTCAAATGGATTTTAAGACGATGACATGTTGTGAAGATAAAATATACCAATATAATTCATGCTTGAATATACAAACAACTCTCCCTAAAACAAGAAAAGTACTCTACTTAACAGTATTTACTTTACTAATCACTGCAAATAATGTAAACTCTCCAATGCATGGAAACAGCTATGAGACATACTTTACCTCAGGTAAATTCAGGTTTTACCTTTAAGCAAATTTCTGGCAGAGTCTGCTTTAGTATCCCTACTTAACTAATATACACAGAGACCAAGGCGCCACGAAGATAAGTGACAGGCTTGAGTCACATATGTGAGAAGAAGCAGGCTCAGTGCACCTCCTCGAGGGACCAGGAAGCGCTTACTTAATGGTGACTGGCAGGCAGGTGCAGGTTTACAGCAGTTCATGTCAATTTATGGGAAACCAGGGAGAAATAAAACCACAAAAGTAAACTTCTCAACAAAGCTAAGTGATTCAATTTAACAATCTTTTATTCTAAGGTTGTTCTTTCAAACTGAACTATACTATCCTTTTTTAAATGAAATGATGTGGCCATGGATAGTGGTGTTATATTCTTGTTGTGGTTTTTTTATTGACTGCACTGGGTAGAATTGTTTAAACTGGCAAATCTATTCCAGCCTTCCTATCTGGGGGGAAACAGAAATAGTTCATATAAAATCTAAATGTCTAGAAGTACTCATGTAATTATGCCTCTCAAAATACTAAGACACTTTTACACACAGACACACACTTCCCTCAAGACTCTCATTAATCTCTACCTTAATCTATTTCAATTAGGAAACTTCCAAATAGAGCAATGATAATATAGTAAGCTTAAGCAACCCAAAATCATGAGTTAACATCAGACTTTGGGAGAAGACCTTGCTCAGAATCATTTTCACCTATGAACTCTTCTGTTACCTTTAATTCTATTAACTCCTGAGTTCCAACTTTCTTTTTTCTAAAACAGTCACATCTTTCACTATTGCTATGTAGGAATCAATAGCCAAACAATAACAACAAAACTTGAGGTCTCCATTAATCAGCTTGCATTTAAAATCTTTTTTACCTTGACTAGACAAAGATGTTTACTGATGCTTATCTTATTCATTTCCAAATGAAAATCAGTCTACAATTTGGACTTAGGCTGCTTTAATTAATAAATTTTCCCATCTTTATATATATGGCAAGTAAAGTATTTCTCTTATTAACATGTCTTATTTCTCATTTCTTACCTGTCCTTTGGCATGCATGGGATTTAAACTATTTTATGTACACTGCTATACTTAAACACTAGTTTAACTCACAACTTACTAAATTCACAATTTAAAATTATGAAGGGATAAGGTAATTTTCATCTAAATTATACTTTCAGATACTTTTTAACACCTTAACTGTGGGGTTGGGGTTATACCTAAGTGGCACAGTATCTGCCTGGCAAGCATAAAGTTGTGAGTTCAATTCCTGGTGTTTAAAAAAAAAAAAAAAAAAAAAAAAAAAAACTCTTGGTATTTAACATTATTTTATTGTGGCATTTTTTTGTTTGCTGGGTTTTGTTTTATTCTTTTCCTATTTTTTGATGTCTTTGAGATAGGGTCTTCCTCTGTAATACAGCCTGACCTCAAATTCAGGGTGATTCTCCTGCCTCAGTCTCCTAAGTGCTGGGTGTTACAGGTGTGTGCGACATATCCAGTTATTACACTTTATTAAAAAGAGGAAAAAAGGAAGAAAATCTGGTTCTCGCAGTACACATAACTATGAAAATATTTAGTTTATACTTCTTACATGGCTCAAAAACCTTTCTTCCTGGTTTTTTGAAACAGGGTCACATCATATTATTAGTTTAGGCTGGCCCTGAACTCACAGTGATCCCCCTACCTCAACCTCCCAAATGCTGAGGTTATAAAAGTGCACCACCACATCCTGCAAAAACTCTTTTTAATGGTGGCTCATATCTGTAATCCCAGCAATCAGGAGGCTGAGGCAGGAGGATCATTGTGAGTTCGAGAACAGCCTGGACTACAAAAAGCTCAAGGCCTGCCCAAACTGCATAGTGAGACTCTATCTCAAAAAGACAAAAAAAAAAAAAAAAACTCCTTTTAAAAGAAAAATGAAACCAGGCATGGAGACACATGTCTATAATCCTAGCAGTCAGCAGGCTGAGGCAGAAGGAACTCTGTCAGTGTGACACGTCTGAGGACACTCGGGCTACATAATTCGAGGCCTGTCTGAACTGCATAGTGAGACCCTGTCTCAACAAAATCCAATTTTAAGAACTGAAACATACACTGAAGTACCCTTTATGAATCAAATATTACGTGTAACATTAAATTTTTTATACATTACATTTCAAAAAAAAATCTAAAATTGGTAATTTTGTCTAAATTTCACTTTAATCTAGTATCTATTCTTGTATCTTGATACTTCACATATCCTTCTGCAGTCTTTTCATTATGTATTTATTCAATCATCTAACTTTTGTTACATGGTACTTTTAAGTTTCAAAGTCCTTTCTTTGAGGAAAGAGGAAAGTAACATAAAAATGTATGCAAATAGGCCAGAGATTTAGCTCAGTGGCATAAGTGCCTGCCTGGAAAGCGCAAGGTCATGTCACCCATACCAAAAAAAAAAAGTATGCAAAAAAACACACTCAGTGGTTGTTCAAGAGTACCTAAGGATCTACTAAGACTTAACCTGGTTCTAAATAACCAACAAATCAGTTTGTCATAGTTATGCATTTTGCACTGTAAATCCATATATACATTACAAATCCATTTCTAAAACTGTCTGGAGCAGTCATAATGATAACTACTTTCCTACTAAAAGGCTACGGGATTTAGTTTAAGAGCAAATGAGACAGAGTACCTTGTTCATGAAAAAGCAGCTTCGAGTTTGTAAACAGAAGATAACTTCCATTGCTGTTTCATGTAATCATCAATATGTAGGCCAAAATAAACTAATGAGCTATATATATTTGTATCTACCTAGCAATATACCGATGAACAGGAGAAGAAATTGCTTAAATGTAATTACTGTTTACAAACGATCAAATCTTAAATCATCTCTTTTACAATTTTAAATGATCACTTTCACCTGGAATACCTCCCCATAAAAGTCTCCATAAAAACGTAAATACTTTTTTCCAAAGTAACTTACCTAAGAATATTTCATGTATTAAAAGAAAATGCTGCAGAGAAGTCAATTACACTTTTTAAAAACTAAATTTACCAGTAAAATAAAACAGCTCACCAAACTGTATTTTTAAATGTTTTATGGGTAACCCATTCTACCTATTAACATTTCAAAGTCATCCTAACGCTTAACATATCATCATTGCACTAACATACTAATCTTTTACTCAAACTTAAACCAGACCCAAACTCTGGCCATTGTCCCCTCCTTGAGCTCACGGAAATCTACAGGGATTAAATCCAAAAAATCAGCTATGTTCAGTGCGGGTGTCTTCTCCCAGAGTGGGGTCACATTCCTGCCGCCCGCGAGTGTCCCCGACTCTAGAAGTCTACGGGTTCCCAAGTACAAAGAGGCCTGCGCCGCACGGAAACACCTGTGCGGGCGGCAGGAAGGCGGGGGAGCGGAGCGCTGAGCCTCGAGCCCGGCCCGGGCGGGGGCGATCAGGGACGATCGGGAAGCTCCCCAGACTCCCCGCCCCCTAGTCTGAGACCCGCCGGGGCCCGGAGCCTGTCACCCACGGTCGGGCCCGTCCCTTGCCTCCAGCCCCAGCCCGGCCGCCCGGCCTCGCGGCCTCCCGCTGCCACCTCAGCGCTCCCGGCCTCCCCGCCCCAGGCCGCCGCCCCCCGCCGCGCCCCCAGCTCCGCGCCGCGCTACCTGGAGATGAGGGCGGCCGAGCACCTCACCCACGGCCCCAGGTCGCACAGGGCCCGGTGCTCCGGGTCGCGCTCCTTCTCCCGCTCCACGTGGTAGGCGTAGATGGACAGCAGGATCCCCGCGGCGCACACAGCGCACCGCGCCACCCGCTCCCAGCGCGGCACAGACACTCTCAGCAGCACGGGCGCCGCCATCTTCCCCCCGCCTCCGCTGCTGCCGCCGCCGCCGCCGCCGCCGCCGCCGCCCACTGCCTCCACCTCAGCCGCCGCCGCCCGTCGGGGCCCGACCCAGCCGCCGCCGCCTCCGCCACCACCTCCGCCGCCGCCTCCACCGCCGCCGCCGCCGCCGCGCCCCATTGGCTCGGTCCCCTCCTCCGGGCCCCGCCCCACAGGCGCGCGGTCCAACCGCCCAGAAGGGAATGCTCCTGACAGGGCTGGGAAGGCGCGCGCGGGCGCGAAGAGAAGGGGCGGGGCGCGCAACGGACGGAGGCCCGGCGGGCGGGGGGCAGGGCCCCGGGAGGGGTGGGGCCGCCGGCAGGGAGGGGCGGGACTAGTAAGGAGAGGGGCGGGGCGGGGCGGGGTGGGGCGGTGCACTGGGAAAAGGGCCACGACCTAGAGAGGGAGGGGCTGGGGAGAAAACGGGCGGAGTGGGGGCGGGGACAGACGTGCGAAGGGCGGGGCCGCGGGGCCTCAAAGGATAGGGCCTGAGCCCGAGAAAGGCAGCCAGTGGGCGAGGTGGCTGAGTGCGCCGGGGCGGGGCCTGGTGCAGGGGAGGGGAGGGACCGGCAGGGGGCGGGACCTGAAGGACATAGAGGGGCGGGGACATCCCAGAGGGGTGGGGCTGGAAGGAAAGGGGCGGGGCGGTGGCGCGAAAGGACCTTGCGGGTTTGGGGCAACGAAGAGACTTCAAAGATAGCACAGTGCATGACTGAGCAAGCCCTAGAGCCGGAGGTGACAATCAGTCGCCATCCTTTTTTCTTTTTCGTCATTGTCACTCGATATTTCTAACCCAATCCAAAAGAACCGTGCTCGCAGCTCCACAGCCATGCTTCCTTGACATGACCAGCCCCAGCCCCACCTCCAGGCACCTGGTGTTTAACATGTGCAAAACTTTTCTTCTCAAATGTACAAGACTATTTTTAAGTGAAAAACAACTTTAAAGTGATTCGTGAAAACCTCGCTTCTCTGGAAGCTAAATTTAAAATAGCTTAACATAATTCATATGATAGAGAAAAACATAAAAATGAGCTTAAAAAAATCAGGACAAAAAAATGACAAATCAGAGTGAAATGAAAGGCCAGGAATAGGAACACAGATAAGTGGGCCATGGGGGCTTTGCACAGTTATTACAATTGAGCCACACTTGTTCTCGTCCTGGTGGCTGAACTATGGAAAACGAAGTAAATCTTGCTAAGAATCATCCTCTTGTTGAAGCTTATTGATAGGATTGTCTTTAAAGGATGAAAGATGCTTCCAAAAGTTGAGGAGTATAAGACAAAAGAGGCCTTTATTCCGGGAACACGGGAGAGGAGACTGGCGTACTGGCCACTGGAATCCGGCGATCTCTCCCAGACACGTTGGGTGGGGGAATCTAAATAGCCTAAGCTTAGGGCAGTGCCCTAAGGCCATTAGAGATGCACCGGTATTTCATTGGCACACGTTTAGCGCCAGAAAGCAGGTTCCTAGGGAGGGGGTATAGGGTTACAGTCAAGTCTATAGGGGGCGGGGGGGGGGGGGGGAGGCAGGAGTTTTTTAACTTAGCTGCAGCCTTTCCTGGTTACAGTGTTGGTCTGGGCCAGCAACTCTTTCATATCTCGTCTTATGGTTATTAGGAAAAGGGGCGAAGATTTCTCTCTGTAACTACTTCCTGCTGGCTGAGGGCACTGTATTGGGGCCTAGGGGAGTTCGACGGGATAAAGGTTGATGCCCAGGTAGACACTGGTGCCAGGTGTTTTAGCCAGGACAACTTCACTGGTGAATGTACGTATGTCAGACTGGAAAAACAAAGAGACATAATGTTATTAGGAGACATGGCACTATTATACTTAAGGACCCAGGTGAGGTAGATAGGAAGGTGACTTTGATTTTGAGATGGTATTTTATCAGGGTGACATTGAGGTAGGAGCATCATCATGGTGAGGTAGAATTCTGAAAAATAAGTGTGAGGTTATTGGAATTATGAGAGGTGATTACTCCCCCATCTGAAAGCATAAAAGTTAGGAGGGTAGGTGTGTAAAATTTGTCTCTGGTCTAGGAGTTGAGCCGGATAAAATAGGGGGAGTATGGGAGACGGTGGCTGTACCAATATAGGGAAGGTGAGAGCTTAGGCTTTCAGGGATGTCACCTTTAACCAGACAGCTGAGGGTGGAAAGAACCACGACAGTTATCACATAGAACATAATAAAGATGATTTTACGCATGATGTGGGAGTCTCTAGGAAAGACTGTCAAGAGTCCTGCTGCAAAAATGATCATTAATAGAGCGTAAGAAATTAGGAACCAAATCGGATAACAAAACATGACTTAGCCTGTTAACTGTGGCTGTGAGGCCTTTGTGAAATGGAGACGGGTGGGTGACAGAAGATGAGATGACCACTCAGAATGATCAGATTTGGTGCTGGGAGGGCACCTTTTAGCCTGAGTGGTGTGAAACCAGGATGGGAGTCCAGCAACTTTGACCGCTGTAGGGGTAGCCAAGTAGACCACCTTGGTTGTAGTCCTGTGGATTTAGAACATTTGAGATAAATTAGATCTACTGGGGATATAGGAGGATCTGGTTTGGCCTCTCCAGAGGGCTGTGGAAGGCAGAGATCAGCATGTTGTCGCAACAGGTGTCGGAGGAAGGAGAGGACTGGGACATAGTCAGCCAAGGGAGGGAGATTTTGGGGAGCAGGAAGATTGTGGAGTAAGAATGGCCTGCCATACATAAGTTCAAAAGGACTTAAGAAAGTAGGAGCCCGGGGGAGTGCCCTGAGCTTGGCTAAGGCTAAGGGCAAAAGTTGAGGCCAAGGTTGGTGTAGTTCTAAAGAGAGTTTTGTAAGGTGTGTCTTTATGAGGCCATTTGCCTTTTCTACTTTCCCTGAGGATTGTGGATGGTATGGGGTGTGTAGGTGCCAGGAGATGTGTAAGCTCGAGGATACCTGTTGAGTGATCCGAGAAATGAAGGCTGGACCATTATCTGACTGAATACTCTGAGGTAGACCAAACCTCGGAATGATTTCTTGTAATATGACTTTGGTAACTACATCAGCAGTTTCACTGGTTGTGGGAAAGGCTTCTATCCATCCTGAAAAGGTGCAAACAAAAGTGAGAAGATATTTGAGAGTCTTGTGGCGGGGCATGTGTGTAAAATCTATCTGCCAGTCCTGACCAGGGGTATGTCCCCGAAATTGATGGGTAGGAAAGGAAGGGGGTGCCATGTGTCCCTGAGGAGAGGTCCTGGCACAGAGGTCACAGGTGTGAGTCGTTTTAAGAATGATGGCTTTTAGAGAAGGGTGTGTGACTATTGGGGCCAAAAGTTTGTATAGGGCCTGAGATCCTATATGAAAACAGTTGGTAAGTCAGTGATGATGTCTGAGGCCTGTTGATGTGGGAGAACAAGTTTAGATCCCTGAAAAATCCATCCCTGAGTGTTTTGTGTGTAACCTGGTTTATGAAGTAGCTGTAACTGCTCTGGTGAATAATTAGGCTGAGGTAGACTGTTTGGGACTAACGGGAGAAGATGAGAAGGGCAGGGCCCTTCTGCAGCTAACTTGGCTTGTCAATCTGCAAAGGCATTGCCTTGAGCAATAGGATCTGTAGAGCTTTGGTGTCCTCTGCAATGGATGACTGCTGCCTGCTTTGGAAGTTGGGCTGCCTCTAGAAGCTTAAGGATAAGGGGGGCATTAATAATGGGGGTTCCTTGAGTGGAAATAAAACCCCATTCTTGCCAGATAGAGGCATGAGAATGTAAGATGCTAAATGTATACTTTGAGTCAGTGTATATATTTATAATCTTGTCTTTTGCTAGTGTAAGAGCCCTTGTAAGGCCAATAAGTTCTGCCCTCTGTGACGAGGTGCCAGGTGGCAGTGAATTTGCCTCTATAACTTTTGACTGGTTAACTATTGCGTATCCCGCCTTCTTTTGGTTGTCTGTGTTTGTTGAACTGCCATCTATGAATCATGTGTCAAAGGCCAAGGAGAGAGGTGTGCTACTGATGTGAGGGAAAGAAGTGGGAGTCATCTGTAAGACCTCAATACAGTCATGGTGAGGAGGGCCTTCTGAGGCGGGAAGTAAGGTCGCTATATTAAGAGGACCACTAGTTGCAATAGAGATGCAAGGGTCTTGAGAGAGAGCTAAGTGTACCTGTTGAAGGCGAGAAGGGGCCATTAGGGCAGGGAGCACCTTATGTGAGATAAGCTCATGTAGGTGATGAGGTGAGTGTACTGTAATAGATTGCCCTAATGTAAACTTTTTAGCTTCCTGTGTCAGGAGGGCTGCAGCTGCAAGAGCTCAGAGACAAGGAGCCCATCCTTTTACTGTGTGATCTAACTGTTTAGATAAGTAAGGTACTGCTTGAAAAGAAGGTCCCTTTTTGTGTCCTAGTACACCTATAGCGTTGTGGCCCTGACAAGTAGTGTATAGGATGAAAGGTTGGGTGGGATCAGGAAGGGTAAGAGCTGGAGCTTTTAGGAGAGCCTCTTTTAGTTTTTGAAAGGAGGCATGTATGGGCCTAGTAGGGTCCAGGGGTTCTGATAAGGAACCCTTAGCAGCCTTGTAGAGAGGTTGAGCTAGGGCTGCAAAATTAGGAATCCAAAGACGAAAGAAATTAGCTAAACCCAGGAAAGATGTAACCTGCCGTTTAGTTGTGGGCACCTGGAGATCATGAAGAATTGCCTTACGATATGAGGTGATGGAGCGAGTGGTGGGGGTGAGAGCAAGACCTAGGTATTGGACTTTTGGGGAGGCTATCTGGGCTTTGGTGGGAGACACCCTGTATCCACGGCTAGCAAGGAAATTAAGAAGACTGGCTGAGTGGCGTATGGCTAACATATGGGATGGAGAGCATAATAGGAGGTTGTCTATGTATTGGAGCAGAACACTAGGTTTGAGATTGAGTTCTGTGAGGTCAGTAGCAAGAGCCTGACTAAAGAAGTGGGGATTATCCCTGAACCCCTGGGGGAGTACTGTCCAAGTAAGTTGCTGAGACCTGAGAGTGTCTGGGTCAGTCCATGTAAATGCAAAGAGGTTCTGGCAGTCAGGGTGCAGGGGGATAGTGAAGAAGGCATCTTTAAGATCTATAACTGTAAAG